GTGTAGCTTTGTGCCTTTCCTGGATCTCGCTCTGTAGACCAGGCTAGCCTCAAACTCACAGAAATCCGCCTGCCTCTGCCTCCCAAGTGCTGGGATTAAAGGTGTGCGCCACCACCGCCCAGCTTCACCATGTCTTCTGGGGAACATATCTCTGGTGGATACTATAAGCTGTTAAGTCCCTCCCAGCTCGTCTATAATATCTTCAGTTATCTTTTAAGTATTACCTTTGAAATGTTTAAAGTCACACTGGTTTTTTCCCGGAATGACTTCAAGTATTAGTTGAGTGTGCTTTGTCCTAAATGCTTGGTGCCACAGATGGTTTATTTTATGTATTTTTAAAAAGTATTTTCATATACATAATTCAAACCAAGTCTAAATACAAAATTCACTTTACTCTCGTATAAATCTTATAATCAGAGCCTGAATGATTTTAAACAAGAGTTTTATTAATTTTGTGCATTCTGAAAGCCACATGAGGTCAGGGATAGAATGTTTGGCTTGCGGTATCATGTTAGTATTTAAAAACTCAGACTTCTGAGCATTTCTGATTTCAGATCATCTATGAAGGTGCTCAGGCTGATGCAGGTGTGAGAGCACCTGTACCAACCTGGTACTCCATCGCATCCCCTGGCGCCACTGCTTCCTAATTTTGGTTCTCTTTGCCTTCCTTGTAAAGCACTATGAAATTTCCTGTTACTATGCTTCCTGATATGATTTTCTTTTTCCTCTCTGTTCTTCTTTAACTCAGTGGATTCTCACATTTGATCTTATTTTCCTGTCAACTATCATTCTTTGTATTTCTCATTCAAAGGGTTTTATTCAAATGCCTGCATCATAGTATTTGATTCATTTTATAGTGTTAGGGTTTTTTTTTTCTGCTTCTGTTCTACATATCTACAACAAATAAGGCTGAAACTAATTTAAAATATCCCAATTGTAAAAAATAGCTAAAAACACTCTTCCAACTAAGAAAGTTGAGGCATCTCTATTTGCAGATATTAATTCTATATGTAAGAGCCTCTAAAAATTCCACCAGAAAACAGAGCTCATAAACACTCTCAGCACAGTGACAGGATATGACATCAACATATAAAAATCAACAGCTTTCGTAACGTACCAATGACAAATATACTAAAAAAGAAATAACCCCATTCACAATGAACTCAAAAAAAATTAAGAAATCTTGGACTAAAGCTAACTAAGGAAATGAAAACAAAACACCTCTAAATGTAAAGTATAAAACACAGAAGAAAACACTAGCAGACTGAAAAGCCACCCCATGCTCACGGATCAGAATAATTAATATTGTGAAAACAGCTGTCTTGCCAAAAGCACTCTACAGATTAAATGCACTCTCCATCTACATTGCAGCACTATTTTTCATAGAAATAACGGGAGTGGATCTTTAAATTCATATGGAAGATGAAACACCTGATACCCAAAGCAATCCTGAGCAAAAACAATGATACAGAAGAGAACCTCTGACTTTAAGCTATACTACTGAGTCATAGTAATAAAAGCAGCATGGCATTGGTACAGAGACAGACATGGATGTCAGTGGGATAGAACAGAGGACCCAGAGATGACCTCACACAGCTACAGCCACTTAATTTTTGACAAATACGCCAAAATACAAACTGGAGAACAGACAGCCTCTTCAACAAACGCTGCTGGGCAAACTGTACATCTACAAGTAGAAGAATGAACCCAGATCTTTATCTTCCACCTGTACAAACATCAGCTCCAAATGGAAAAACCTCAATGTCAGAGCCAGAACTCAGAAACTGTTAGAGGAAAAGCAGAGGAAACACTCAAAGGTACAGCATAGGTAAGCTCTTTCTCAACAGGACTCCAGCCCCTCACAAAATAAGTGACAATCCACAAATGGGGGGCAATCATGAAATGAAAAAGTTCTGTGTCACAAGGACACAGTTGAGGAGTGAAGAAATCCTCATGAGCTCTTCATCTTGTGGGGAGAATGTACAAAACACACAAAGGGCCTTATTAACAAAACGAGAAAGCAGATAATTCAATTTTTTAAATGAGCTAAGAAGTTGAACACACAGTTTGGTTTTTTTTTTGGTTTTTGGTTTTTGGTTTGTTTTTTTTTTTTTTTTGCATGAATCCCTGCAGGCCAGAAGAGGGCACCAGATCTCATTACAGATGGTTGTGAGCCACCATATGGGTGCTGGGAATTGAACTCAGGACCTCTGGACGAACAGCCTAACCTCTGAGCCATCTCTCCAGCCTGTTGAACACAAAGTTCTTAAAAACAGCAATACAAGTGGCTAACAAACGTTTGAAAATGTGTTCAATATCTTTACCCATCAAATAAATGAAAACTAAAACTACTTTGAGGGTCCGTCTCACTCCAGCGTGAATGTTGGTTATCGAGGAGACAAGAGACAACAGACGCTAGTGAGGACAGAGAAAAAGGAAGAACCTCAGTCAGTATCTGTAGGAATGTGATCTGGGGTAGTCACTGGGTAAGTCGGTGTGAAGGTTTCTACAAAACCTCAAAACAGGGCTTCCAAAGACCTAGGCCATGTCTACAGGACTCCATATCCCACCAAGAACCTTACGCATCCATGTTCACTGCTGCTTTATTCACAAGAGCAAGGAGATGGAAACAGCCCAGATGTCCATCAAGTGATGAATGGGCAGAGAAAGTGTGGTCATACACACCACAGAACTCCATGCAGCCACAAAGAAAACTGAAATTATGAAACAGCATGAAAATGGGTGGAGGAGGGAAAGAATGTATTATGTGAGCTAACTTAGGGTCACACAGGCAAATTCAGCTTTTATTTTATGTATATGTGCATTTATGAAGAAGTAAGGAAACTACAGACTCTTTAAAGAGAGCTAGTTGTGCAGCGGACCACATGTGATGTGAAAGCAGGGGTAGAAACAGCAGGAGGGAGAAAGATTTAAGTGGGTGGGAGGAAGGAGGAGTGGGGAAGAGGAGGTGGGGAGGAAGGGTCAACCAACACTAATGATGTCTGGAAAAGAGGAGGAAGACTTCTGATACTCAACAAACTAATCTAAACGTTTTCCTTTAAGTGTTTGAAATGAAAATGCCCTGGGTGGGTAGATAAATCAGTTCCCAGAAGCCACATGTTATTAAACAAAAATCCCAGTGCAAGGAATTCTCTCTCTCTGAGATCTTCAGTCAGTCAGTAAGGGCCCTAAAGCCCCAAACAATACAGGCAAATGTCATCCAATTGGTTCTTCTCCAAAATCAGAGCAAGCCCCTATTGCTGAAAAATGCCACATACATTGATTGCAGGACACAGAGAAATGAAGCTGGGAAATGGGCTAATGCAACCCCCCTGCTAGCTAGCTTTCATAACACTGCAGGGTGCCACAGAGATTGCTGGGGGAGGATTGTCATCAACAGTCTTACAGAGCGTGTGTGTGTGTGTGTGTGTGTGTGTGTGTGTGTGTGTGTGTGTGTGCGTGCGCACACCAATATCAAATGTAAGATGTGCCAATTAGCTCAATAGTGGCAAATCATTTATGGAGATTACCAACTGCTTTTCTGATTTGATGTGATGCCTAATTCACAGGAAGGAATGCCCATCTGATACAGTAAACTTGTCAAAAGCCCGTGGCTGGGAGGTCATAGGCTGTAGTGAGAAAGTTACTGCTGCTGTTTTACTAAATGGGTATGATGTGCCTTCAAAGTGTCTTCTAATATAACTACATCCATGCAGCCGTCAGTGCTACTCAGAGAAGCTTCTTTTTCCAGGAAGCTATGGTGATTGCAGGAACTCCTAATTGGTAATGTCTTTCAAATCTCCAGTTATAAATGAGACATCTATACTATCTCTCCAAGGCTCTGGAAATACCATGGAAGGAGCAGAAAAAATATAAGAGCAACAAGAAGGGACTGAGCACTGTGGACCACGGCCTTCTGGAACGGCATGACTGCTATACTGACAGCAGCTACGATTACCTGCAGAAGACTGGGCCCTGTGGTGGAAAGGGCGAGCCTCTGGGACCTCAACCCCATGAGGATTTCTATGCACTCATAACAGGTGGAGGAACAGGCATTTTCTAGTGGTACAGGCACTGGAAAGGTATCTGCACTCCTGTGAGCAAGCTCTCACCTATGCTCCTGTAGACAAGTTTTATATTCAGTCACATCAAAATAGAAAGAGACACCAAAGTACGAGGTGGCCAACTCAGAAAATGGAAAAGGATTAATGAGAGTGGGGTGAGACAAAATAAAATGGAGTGAACCTGATCAAAAAAACATATGTGCATGTATAAAAATGTCATAATGATATGCTAATAAAATATTTTCCAAAAGTGAAAGAAGCAGAAAGCATGTGGTCTTGCCTTCAGAAAAGAAGTCCACTGTCAAAAGCCTCAACCAGCCTGGTGGTGCACTGCAATCCTAGCACCTACAAGGCTGAGGCAAGAGGACTCAAGTTCGAGGCCAGCCTGAGGTTGTCTCATAAAAACAAACCAAGAAAATCCAACAAAAAGATCAGACTCAAACAAACAACTAAGTAATACAGGACACGGTTATAACAAGTGTGAAGAATAGAGAGGAAGCTGAGATCAAGCCTGCCATTGTAGGGGAACCTCCGTGGGACTGGTCTAGGAGCAGGCAAGCTAAGGAGACAGTGGCTGATTTTGGACTCCTGACTGCCTGAGAATGCGTTTGTGTCATTTTAATTTGTGAATGAAGTTTTACAAGAAAGTAACCAATTTTTGAGATTCATGTCCTTCAGTGTGGTAGTCCTAAGAAATGATCTACTTCCTTGATGACAGTTTATTTTCTCCTCTAGAGTCAAAATAGTTTTAAAACAGAAATTAAGATAAAATCACCATAAGAAAGCCATTAAGATAAAAAGAAACTGGAAATATTTTTAGCTTATGAGAAAAGCTGAGGATAACATACAGTTCAGCTTACCTCATTTTAGTCTTAGAGCAAGCACATTATATACAAAAATGAGTTAATCACTTAAAATAACGTATGAATAACGTACCAAATCCAGGAACACTTTTGAGACTGGATTTGAGGCAAATTTTCTCCAATCTGAGGTAGCTGTATCTCATTAGACAATTCCACAGGAACATCCAGTCTACTCTTGTCCGATGGTTCATGATGATGACGCTCCTTTCTCCAGGTACAAATGCATCACCTGTGATAACCACTTTTACACCAAACATGGTCTCCAACAACGCCTACCAAAAATGAAAAATGCACACATACAGCAACTTAGGATTTCCAGGTTTAAGAAGCCAGATATGAGATTATGAGATATGTTTATGAATTTATTAGATATTTACAATAGCCAAAAGAATGAAGATATTTAAAGTTACGGATCTTTTTCATTCTTGCTAACCTTGTCATGCTATATTGCTTTTATAATACAAAAAAAAAGATGACACTTAAAAACTAAATAAATGACTCGGGAGGCAGAGGCAAGCGGATCTCTGTGAGTTCGAGGCCAGCCTGGTCTCCAAAGCGAGTTCCAGGAAAGGCACAAAGCTACACAGAGAAACCCTGTCTCAAAAAACCAAAAAAAAAAAAAAAAACCAAAAAAAAAAAAAAAACTAAATAAATGATGAAAAAAATTGTCTTTGGAAAAGCAAATCTGAATCCAAACTAAATGATTTAATTATTTTTTTTAAAATTACTGCAGTTTTCCATAGATAAATTCTATCATGTTATATCCTATGATTTCTAACATATAAAACATAGTTTTCCACATTCTTGCTTCTGTTATAAATGTGGGAAGGTGTTGATCAAGTATAAGAGAATGAAGTACCATATACATTCTTCCACTAATTTTAATTTCTGGAAGTTTCATAATAGAAAAACATGAACTACATTTCAAATCTTCAATTATATATTATTAAGTTAAAAGAAAGACAAAATAAGATTCTACTAGTACTTTTGAGGATATAAAGATAAGATTATTACATAATTTTTCTCGAAAGAATAATCAAAAATATAACACTGTAGGACTGAAGAAACTAAACTTCATTTTTTCTGTAAGATGATCTTTTGCTACTCAAAAAGAATACATAAAGACTAAAATAACTGTGTCTACTACAATCTTTCAGCCTACCACCTACGGCAAATGTCTGGCACATGTGAATGCTCCAATGCTTGCTGATTTTGTTAAACTAACATTCCTAAGGCCTGTGGATATAATCTAGATTAAATATTCAGAAGAAAAGTGTGTATTACATCTAGAGTTCGTAAGAAGTGAGCTAGCACCTCCTCCTTTTCATTTTCCTTGTTTAGACTGTCCAGAATCTGCCTTCAAGCTCCCTCTACTAGTTTTCCAAGAAGCCAAGACTACAGGGTGCATTACATTCCCAACATCAGTCTCAATTTCAAGCTATTGTATGTAACATCCTACTTTAATTCATAACTAATCAAGAAAGGGTTGACAGAGAGGTTAAAGGCTAAGAAAACCACACCTCTCTAACACCTTGAAGTCATTCAACATCGACAGCAAAGAGCTCTGAGTATCTAAGGTAGCACGGAGCACAAACATAACAGTGAAGAAACAAAACAATCATATATTTAAACATCCACGTGGAGGCTTTCTGCAAGAGTAGGATAGTTTAGAGGGAAATTAATACAGGGAAGAAACAACTATTTAACAAGTTATAGTCATGGCTACTTCATCCCAAAAAGAGGACATCTGGGTTGGATGGCTGGGTAGAGCTACCACTAGAGCTGGTCACGATGCTTCTTGACCTGCTTGTCAGTGACAGTTACTCTGAGGACTAGGGAGACAGGAGGGTTGCTGGGGCTTGCTGGCTACTAGTCTGAGAAAATGTGAGTCCCAGGTTCAGGGATAAAAGCCCACACCTCAAGGGGATAAGTGAACAGTGATGAAGCAAAATACAGGACACACTCACTCTTCTAACCTACTTGTGCGTGCACGCACACACACACACACGCACACACACACACACACTAACACACACATCAATACACACATATTACTCATTAACATGTGTGTTTGTATTTATTAACCTTTTGATGTTTTTTTTCTATTTGAAAATTAAAAGCTTTATGGGCTGAGCATGGTGGCACATGCCTTTAATCCCAGTACTTGTGAGGCAGAAGTAAGTGGATCCCTGTTTCTGTGATATAATAATAGTAACAATCTACTTCTATTCCATAAGAAAGGAAAGAAGTTTTTCATTAAAGAGAAAGGTAGAAAAGACAAGGTGTGTAAACTTAGAGTTGAGGATATTTTAGGTTAAAGGACTGTCACCTCCACAAGGTGGATATCCTTATCTGTCCTGTTCATCATTACATCCAAGAATCTGGCTCCATTCTGCCTGTGTCCTCAGAACGTTAGGGAAGGGGAATTTAAAGATAATGGACTAATTTGTTTGGCAGAAGAAATTTTAAGGCAAGGGAGCATTTACTCTGTGGCATGGCTACTTTTTACTATATTTACCCAGGTGTATAGTTAAAAAGAGAATAAGAGCTGGGCAGTGGTGGCACCCACCTTTAATCCCAGCACTCAGGAGGTAGAGACAGGAGGATCTCTGTGAGTTTGAGGTCAGCCTGGTCTACAGAGCAAGTTCCAGAACAGCCAGGGCTACACAGAGAAACCCTGTCTCTAAAAACAAAACAAACAAAAAAACAAAGGGGGGGGAGAGAGTTGTAAACTTTACAGCAAAGAACAACCACGTGGCTCTGTGTGGGACAACAGAAAATGTCTCTGAAGAGAAAGACTACCCAATAAGGGTTCCAACTTGAGAAGATGAAAACTTACTTGAAAAGAGAGATCCTGACTGGAAATGTAGCTGAAGGTGTTCCCCATGCCTTGAAAGCAACGGTCTGGGAAAGTGCTGCCCAGTGTCAGCCCACGGGAGCTGACAGCTGTGCTTCACGGGGACCAGGCTATAGCTCACACTGGTAGAAGAATGTGACCACACTGCCATGTTACTAGCTTTGCAGGCATGAGAGATCCAAGATTGAAGAGGTCATGGAGTCCCCTTCAGAGAGCAGCTAAATGTGTGGCAGAGACAGACTCTCTGCAAGAAATTGCTCAGAGGACAAATATGAGGCTGTGAAGGTGAGCCTAAGTTTCTACGGAGACCCAGGATATTGAAGGTGTCAGGATCCTTTCCCCCTTAAGTGGTTTTTGTCAGAGTATTTCATCACAGAATGAGAAAAGCACCTGGTTCAGCAAGTGATTGGCAAATGACTGAATCCCTAAAAGCTTCCACTTCCTTCTCTGTAAAATGCTAACAATGGCGACACCAGAAACAAAGCCATCCTCCTTAAGCACTTTACGGGGTCACATAAGTGGTCAACTGGTATTACCATCATTGCATCTGGATTCTTACACTGTTTTTCTTTTTAACAGAGCCTTCGAATTCTTTTTGTACCTGAGCTAAATACACAAGCACACCATGGTTACTCGTGTCCCAGGCCACTAGCAGCCTTCTCCTTGTGCCTGCAGAACAGATCAGTTTAATTGTGAGGGGAGAAAGGAGGTCAGAAGCAAGGGGGTCCAGGCTGGCAGTACTGCACTTCATAAAACACATACATCTGTACAGAAATCTTAGACCACAAACAACTTTAAAAAGGGAAGAACAGCTTTTAGCAAGTGATGAGTGAAAGTTTAAAAATCACTCACCCTAGGACTCACTTTTAAATATGGAAAGTATACCGTAAATGGTTTAACAGTCAATTATCAGGAAACTTTCACGAAGAATCTATCCTACCCCAAGCACCATTTCAGTAACTACTGAGTCAACCTTCATCTGAAGGATCCACAGCAACTGCGTGGCACTTCCATCCTGTGGGCAGCCAAACTGCCTACTGCCTGACGGGAACAAGCAAGCAGCTCAATGAAATGGGGGTGGGGGGTGGGGAGAACAGTTCCCTTCTTGTTTTCTTTGTCAGGTACTACACTCATCATCTCTCTACCAAAACAGACTGGTACACCCAGCAACCTGAGGAGAAAAGAGGAATAGCTGTTGCTAGGAGAAAAAAGGACCGGAAGAGTCCCCAAGAGGCCATCCAAGTCCCCAAGGGCACAGTGCCCACTGATGCACAGTCCCAGAGGAGGGGGAACCTGGACTGGACACCGACAGTCATCATCTCAAGATCAGAAGGAGATGTGCTCAGAGTAGTTATAGCACCTTGGTCCCAAAGACTCTACTGAACACTGTATGGACTTTAATCTTACTTATGCTATTAACTCCATCTGCAGATAGAAATCACCTTTCCTTGATTTTTATGTTCCTAATTTTTGTCATTACTGGAAAGAAGTGAATCAATCACATCGCTGTCATAAGTTTAAAAAGATGTTTCTTATTCACATTTTTATTTAAAATTTTTTCATGCAATATAATTTGACATTCTTTCCTCTTCCCCATAGAATCTTCTTTGTCACTGCTTTGTAAAACACAAAATGGAAACGGAGAATAAAATTCAGTGATGTAAACATTCTTCAGTCTTCAAAATTTACCTATTTTTCTAGATAAAAATTATACCTTACATTATATAAACTATAAAAGAAAATTCACGAAGAATTCAGAAAGAAGCTCTTCAACATTTACATATTTTTCTAAAAATTATACCTTATATAAACTATAAAAGAAAATTCACGAAGAATTCAGAAAGAAGCTCTTCAAAATTTACCTATTTTTCTAGATAAAAATTATACCTTATATTATATAAACTATAAAAGAAAATTCATGAAGAATTTAGAAAGAAGCTCTTAATTTTCTATACTTTTTTTTTAATAAGGGTTTGCTTTAAGGACATGAATGTTTGTATTTCTATTTTTCCTATTTTCCCACTTCTTTTTAAAGTCAGATATGACTATTATAGAACACCAGGGACTTCTGTCTCCCTGAAAACCCAATCTCTGGGGCTAAAAAAGTACAAGAGATGGGCCACCCAATACAAGCAGACAGACTCTTCCCTGGTGTGGAACTTACCACAGGAAGCGTGAGCCATGTAGCCACAAGGCGGCTGCTGATCCAGCGATACCATGACAGGCTTATAAACATCAAAGGAATAATGGGACCCAGCATAAAAATACTTCCAAAAAAGCTTCCCGCAAACAGGAAGAGTATAAAATAAATCCCCTTCCATGACACCATGATTCTGAAACATAAAACAAAAACAAAGATTATGTTTTATTACTATGCATTTAGCTGTTCCAATTCCATCAAAATTATACATACAATAATCTTTAATGAGGCTACTGAATAACTCTGAGGAAGGCTAGAGAAGACTGAAGTCCCCGCTCTACAAGCCTAACAAGTTGCCAGTATTCTAGAAACTGATCCTCTCAAAGGAGTACATAAATGTCTGTTCTCCAGAAACACATGCTATCTGGTGTGTAAGACGCCTTTTTAAAACTCAACTGCCTTTAACACAGGAGGGATCACTTTCTTTCCTGGGTTACTACTCCAAGGTTGTTTTCTACCTAGAAGCCAAAATAATGCAGGAAGATTTGCAGAAGAGCTTCCAAGCGGGAGCACACCTAAGAGCAACAGTGGTCTCAACAGGGCACACTAAAGCTGAGAGAGAGGACTCTGGAAGGGGTCACTCTTCACAGGGACCCGAAAATTCCATCTCCGGGCCCCTGGTCTTAGACTGCCTCTTTACGAGCTTGCTGGGTAAGTCAGCTGACCCTTTACTTTATCCAGACATCTGCCAAAGTATTACCTTAACGGGACTTGAAACCAAAACCTAACACGGATATTTTTAAACAAATGCCTGGAAACATAGCTGAAAATGAAATCTCCAACATTTGATTTTATAACCTAAACTAAACAGAACAAACTGACCCAGAATGAAGTTTAACTTGCTACCAAGTGTATGTTTTCAATTTCTACCAATATGTGATGTTATATACACAAAATCCTACAAATATTTACTACGAACTTCTAGATCTGGACCTTTAGGGAGAAGGATGAAGGAATCATAGGGAAAAAGACAACTAGGAAGCAGTGGAATGAACTCCAACCCACACAGGGCTAGAGGCATGTGTCCCACGACCTCCACATCACTGTCTCTGAGCCTCTCTGCATTAAAAATAGCAGCAGCAGCAGCGGCTTCTCCTCAATCCTCAACTTAAATCTCTTCAATAGAAAAAAGGCACACAGGCTTTAAATTCACTATTTCAGACCTGTTTCTTATACACACACACCCACCACCACCTATAATGCTCCTCTCTATCTGAAAACCCTCCATCTACCTTTCCTATCTGATATTTTCTGTCAGCCAGCCACCAGCTAACTCTAGACACTTGTTCCTAACCTCCCTGGTGGAGCCACATTTTACACTGTTATCCACTCAGACAGTATCCTCATCAAAGACTCCTGCATGCTTCTTCCTTACCAATTTCTGATTTGATGCAATTCTAAGGAAAAATATATAATTAAATGGCCTAGCTATCATCAGATGAAATCTTTCCACTGTATAGCAATGAATCTGAGCCGCATGGAGGCTAAAAAGGCTTTCCTAGTTCAACACAAAGCATCCAGTCCTGCCTAGAGCACCTTCCACTGCTTCATGCCACCTCCCTCCTGCCATTCAGCTGAGAATTAGACCAACATCAACCTTTAATCGTGTACTTAAATAAAGACAAACGTATATAAAGGGATCTATCACATGACTGCAGTGGGATTCTATAGCTCCAATCTAAGCTAAAATTCTTTAATATTTATTTATATGAAACAATAAACATATAAGGAAATCCCTACTGTGTGCCAGCCATGGTCCCTACCATTACCATTACCCAGACCATTACCAAAGGTCTCACAAATCTAGGAATGGAACTCAGGGCCTCTTGCATGCAAAGCACAAGCCCTACCCTCCTCCTGGTGATCTCATTTCTAACTTGTGTGCTCCTCTCTGGCTGTATTTCAAAGCCTTTTTCTCTGTCTTCATTCAAGTCCTAATTTGGGGGTCAACTAGGTTAAGAATAGCTACATACTTATTTGGAATAGTTAAATATTGAATAAAAAGGACAATGTCAAGAACTGACACAGATGTGCAGCAACCTGAACTAACACTCATTGCTGGTGGAAACTCAAAATTATACAAAACTCTGGGAAACAGCTTGGCAGTTTTATAAACTACTACATTGATGCTCACCATATATAATAGTAAATCCACTGACTGTCCAGTACAAATAAATATTATCTTCATACAAAAGGTTCTACACAATCCTTTATAAGCACCATTTCTCATAATTGCCCAAAACTAGAACTACCCTGTCAGTCAATGGTGAGTAGATACTGAATTAGTACTCATCAATGAAGATATATGCCTAATGCAGGTCTCTTGAGCTATTCTCAAATGCACTGTGCTAAAGGAAAGATGCCAGGCTCAAATGACATTTCTTTTAGGGGACATTCTGGGCGAGGCCAACCCATAGGAGAGGAAACAGATCAGTGGTTGGCAAAGGTTAGGACGAAGAGATGGTCTGAGTACTGAAGGAGAGCACAGGGAAGCCTGCTAGATGAGCAAACTGCTGCTTCCTGACTGCACAGTGCACGATGGTGGAAACATGTCCACTACTTTCCTTCCTTTCCTCCTGTGGAGCTCAGCGTTGAAACCAGACTTCCTGCATACCTAGTACAGCTCTGCCACTGAGCAACATGCCCAGCTCGCCTGGGTATTGTAAACTGTGATCCTGCCTGTCATCTAGCCCTTGGGAGGCAGGGATCATGAGTTTAAAGCTCCAGAGTGAATGTGAAGCCAGCCTGAGCTACATAATGATACTCTGTTTCACAAATACAAACTCTTAAAATGACTGAGATAAAAGCTGTGTTCTTGTGAAATCCTATACTTCAGATTATTTCAGTAATAATGATCTAAAATATTTTTCTAAGCTTTTTTAATACGCCAGATATTATTTCATGTATTTGGTTTGAATAGACTTGAACAGTCACAATAATCTCATGGCGTGAGTATTTTTAATACCTCTGTTCTAGACATCAGGATTCTGTGGCACAAAAATGTTAAAGTAATGTGCTCAAGGTTAAACAGCTACTAAATAGCAAAGCTGAGAACTGGCTCTGGGGATTTTGGTGTTGGTGTCTATACTCAATCTGCTGTGTTATACATTTTTTTCAAGACTGTATTATTTTTATAATTAAATACACATACTTTAAAAGAATTATACTATAAAGACATAATTGGAAACCAAATTTTAATACTTTATAAAAAAAGTATTCTGAATTTTACAAGTTCACAGGAGCTAAATGAGAAAGGCTCATTAAGTCTCTCTTAACTTAATATCCTTTAGTTCACACACACAAGCGATATAGGTTAACCTGTGATTCCGGTTATAGCAGTTATCATGAAAAAAATCATGAATGGGGCAAGGATAATGGTTGCTTCACTAAGGTACTGAAGAAGGCATCCTCCTGGAGGAACTGGTGGAGGGAGCAGAGAGAGAATTCAGGCAGACAAACAACATACGATTCTTAGAAATCAGAAACAGCAAGCTGTAGAGACTTAGAAACTACTGACGTAGAAGAACAACAAGGTTCAGAATGCTGGTATGCAAGAAATCGTAAGAGCACTGGCCCTAGGGAGAAAGCCGCACCCGCGTCAGGATGGGGAAAACAGCACTGCATCTTGGCACACAGAGTGGGAGACAACCACCTAAGGCTTAGGACTCATCTTTTGAGATAAGTGTTACAAGTGACACAAACATGGACACCCTGGCTTTGTTAGGAGTCTTCTCTGGGCGGGTGGTGGTGGCGCATGCCTTTAATCTCAGCACTCAGGAAGCAGAATTAGGGGGAATCTCTGTGGCCAGCCTCGAAAAACCAAAAAAAAAAAAAAAAGAGCATTCTCTGGACTTTGCAATAGATAACTCATAAGACATACTGGCAAAAATTACGGGACTGAAAAATGCCACTATCAAAAAGGTCTTCAAGGCAGGACCGACACCAACTGATCATGAGCACACACTTCCTTACCTGGACACCTCACCTGTAACATGAGGAGGCTTAGGGCAGATCCCCTCTAAGACCTCTGCTAGTCTGAATATAGGCTTCCTTTTCTTTATCAGACACTTTATACAGGCAGGATGATAAGTATTTACCTACTTATCATCTAAAGGTTTGCCTTGCTTGCCAGCACAGATGTGTCGTCCCAGCTACCACTCAACAGAACCAGGGAAATCCAGGTTCAAGGCCTGCCTGGCTACAGTGAATGTACCAGCACCTGAGTAACTTTCATGGACCCTGCTCAGTGGAAGAACACTTGCAAGGTAGTGGGTCTAGTCCCCAGCACTGTAAACAAAGTCCACAGACTTCACATTGTATATACAACCCAAACATCTATCACATGGAAGAAATCTGTAATCTTGCTCAAATTCAAAGTTGAATTTTAAATACTACAGGGAGTCTGCAAAAGCAACTCATGATATGAAAATATCATACTGAAACCATTGCTTTGTATACTAACTTTAAAAAGTGAAAAATAACAAAAGGCATTCTAGTAACAATGACTCTAGCCAACTGGCTAGCACCCACTCAAAGGACCTTTATTCTAGTCTACTTCACATTCTCTTCTGGGTATGTACTATGCTACAGTGGATTTGTAAATCTGAGGATTAAATAAAAGGACTTTCCTGTAGCTCCTGACAATGCCACGTGTCCTAAAATAAACACTTAACATTTCCATCCAATCCAAACAAAAGCCTCAAATGTGGATTGATTGTGTGTGTGTGTGTGTGTGTGTGTGTGTGTGTGTGTGTGTGTGTGCACGCGCACGCGTGCGCGCACAATTCCTACAGGTGGATACAAATATTATTAGGTGAATTTTTAAAAGTCTGATGGGGAGACATATGGCATAATAAACCCAAGATTACTCCACAAAGAGGCTGACCAGAAATGCAGACAAATCCTCATGCCAGTCTCCTGTCCCTTCAGCTCCTTCAAAGACTCCTCTTGACCAACCCAAAAAGAATGAAGAGCCCTGTGCTGCCGAGGAGTAAAGAGCAGATTCTAGGGCAGAACAACACAGAGCTAGCGAAAATCGGGTTGTAAACTACATGATTACCATTTTCTAATGACAGTTGATTTGTATATACTTTTGTTTCTTGGGGTATATGCAGTAAATCTTTCTCTCTATTC